TTGATACCATAATCGTTTGAGGAATTCCTGATGACGACTCTACTTCATAAATTGTCAGCAGACTGCAAATTAATGACCCTTTTGCCCTTCATAAATTAAAGCGCGCACCGTGTGATTTTTTCCTGCGAAACCAACAGACTGAACAAACCGGTTAGCGACTAATTACAATGCAATGCAGAATGAAATAAAATGTGAAATGAACCTAATAATCTAAGGGTAAAATTTGGGGTATGACAGAGATATTGAAGAGGTTGTCATTCCTCTAAAATGTGACAAGAGAGGGAGACGATATGGATTTGTAAGATTTTGGGATAAGGATGATGAGAGAATGTTGGTGATGAAATTGAACAATATATTCATCAATAAATGGAATACATATGCAAATGTACCAATATTTAATATGGGAATGGGAAACCTCAAAGGGAATAAAGACTCGAACAAGGGCATAGTTTAGAATAGGAGATACAAGGAAGCAGAAACCAAAGGGAGAAATGGAATAGTCTAATCAGTCAAAAGTGATACGGTCCCAAAAAGGAAAAGCATAAGGATATCAACACGCAAGAGAGTACAAATAATACGCTCAGGTAGTTCGTAACAATGGTGTCCAAAGAAAAAATTTAGGTGGTCAGCACGTTGAAGAACAAGGAAGAATTAAGAAATTGGGGAAACCATTATTTGCACACATGCAATTTAATATGAAAGAAGGGAATCCAACAGTGTTCAAAGAGTCAAATGTAGGAGTGGTAGAAAGCCTAGGTATGACTTACAACATCCAATAAGCATTTCGCATGGAGGGTATTTTACACTAAAATTCACCTCACTTGGAGTAAATCTGTGTGTATTAGAATAAACGGAGGAATGAGAACTTAAGGACCTAGTAAATGAAGCTTGAGATTGGCTAGACCAATGGTTTTCGAAAATTCATTCGTGGATCCCTGAAGATGTTGATAACGGGAGACTAACATGGTTAAGATGTTATGTTTGGTCGCCTAAGTTCTTTGAGTTTCTTACTTGTTTAGTGGGTGTTTATGTTTACTCTGATTATGAAATGAGACTTTAGGAGAGATTGACATAGCAAGAACTATGGTTAGAACAAAGTATTTGATGGTCCTTAATAAAATATTCAATATTCAATACCACAGAAAATTCATATCACCACGATTATAAAAGGGAGACCATCACGGCTGATAAACCTTGACAAGGTAAGATGTGGTAGTATGTGTCAGCTTTACCACCACAGTCTTGAAACCGCAGTAAAAACTTAGCAGCGCATTACATATCACTACGGTTGTTAAACAACTGTTGTAAAATGTGGAGGTAAGAGGTTCGATACCCAGTTCCAAAATTTTTAGTGATTTTTCAACATTTCACCACAGTTATAAACAACAACCGTAGTGAAAGACTTAGCATACAATATTTCACTATGGATATAAGTAGAAACCATTGTGATATGTATAATTGAGTTTATTATAACTTATGTGAAATGCTTATTTCATCAACTTGTCAATAAATATATTATCTTTCAATTTGATTTAGAAATTAATAATATGACAAATTATGTTATATTAGAAGAACAACTTATATCAATCAATGTTTTTCTACCCTTCTACAATCCATTATCCGTATCTTGCCTTTTGAATGTTAGAATTTGCTTTAATGTTTGAAGTTCTTCAATCAACACTTTCTTTTTTACTAGATCATTCTACAAAGTTAATACTTCCTTTTTTAATCAATGTTTTTCTATCATTCTACAATCCATCATCTTGTCTTCAATTGACACTTTGTAGTTCTTTTCGACCAACTGCCCTATGATGGGCAAATTACTCTACATGTCTGGTATATAAAATACATTGGAAATTACTGACCTTTTGCCATCTTTTCTCATAACCAGAACATTGATACCTTCAGTTGTGAGAGTATTGTCATTTTTAAATTTCACCATGTTCTTCATTGAGGAATTTATGTTGACAAATAAATCTTTCCTATCAGTCGCATGTGATGAGCATCGCGAGTCCAAGTACTATTGGTCCTGAAATCTTTCTTCATCTCTTGTTGTGACCATCAGCAACATTTCTTCTTCTTTTTCATGCTTTGCAAACTTTGCATCATTTTCTTGGTTCTTTTGTTTTTCAGGACTACACGTGTAGTGATCATATTTCTGATAATTGAAACAATAGATGTGACTTTTGTCAGATTGTTTACCACCACTTCCTCCTCTACCTGCTGCACCACCTCTTTGTCTGCTTTGGTATGAGGACTTTATCTGATTCGAATAGCCTCATTCTTGTTAACTTCGACCATTTGAATTGTTGTAGTCTCCTCTACTTTTGTTGTCAAACCACTTCCCCTTGCCTTTCTTTTCTCTTGTTGATTGCACTTGCAAAGCCACGTCACTCTTCGACTTGCTTGCAGCTCTTTTAGTCATTCTTTGTTCATGAGATTCAAGCGTCCCTTGAAGCTCTCCCTTTGTCAATGTTGACAAATCTTTTGACTTTTCTAGGGCTACTACCACGTGGTCAAACTTTGGAGTCAATGACCTCAAGATTTTTGCAACAACAGATCTTGATGTCAACATTTCTCCCCATACCTTTATTTGATTCACCATTTTTGTAAATCTAGTGAAAACACCAATTATACTTTCACTTTCTTCCATATGAAGCAATTCATACGTTAACCTCACCTCTTTCATCTTGTCTGCGCCTCCAAACGATTTCTCCAAGATTTCTCATGCTTCTTGCGTTGATTCTACATCATCGGCCTTTTTGAAATTTTTTGGATCAACACATTGTTGAATTATAAAGAGAGCTTTATAATTTATCTTCTTCAATTCTTTGTTGCAGCCTTTTCTGGATCCGGCGCGCTTTCTGCAAGTGGTGTTACTCCTTTCTTCACAAGATCCTAAAAATCTTGATAACTGAAAACCACCTTCATCTGTTTGCACCAATTCTCATAATTTTGTCCCTTCAGAATTGGGAGATTCGCCAGGAAAATGCACGTTCAGATGATTAATCGCCATCGTGTTTTCCTACCCGTGAATCACTCAGTTGGTGCTCTAGATACCAGATGTTGGAATTAAACTCAAGACTTTAAGTCATTCTGAATCAATCTTGATGAGTAAGATTCAATCACACCGATCGAATTTCATATTGTTCTTCACTCTTCACTCGAATGAATCAACCAACCTTAGTTGCAAGATTGTATTACTGCATAATGGTTATGAAAACTAAAAAAGAAAATTGAATTGGGGAAAAAGATGAGTTTAGGGTTTTCACGAAAATAGGGGAAGAGCAAGAATTTCTACAGAGTAACTCTCTGCTCTCAAAACTGCAATTTTATTCAAGTGAATCACAATACAATAATAGAGTTACTCCTTATTTATAGATTTAGCTTACTTTCTCCCTAATTAAAGTCCAAAAACAAATGTGCAAAATACCTAATTCCGCTAACACTACAAAATTAAATTTAAGACAAAAACTATGTTGAGGCTAACTTCTCAATACTTCGACAACTAGACGTTTCGACACACACTAGACTATTCAACAACTTTCTTATATTTGTCGAGCAACATTCTTCCACACAAGAAATTATAATTCAACATATTAGTATATTTTGAAATAAATAAATAAATAATGATTTAAGATTTTATCTAAAATAAGACAAATGTGTGCATTTTACAAATTTGAAAACTTAAAGGTGCAAATTTTAAAATATAAAACGAGAAGATGAAAAAACTCGTGACTTAAAAAGAAGTTTCAAATTGTAAAATATGTATCCTTCAAAAATATGTTATGGATTATAGAACTCAAATACTTTTTTTCCGAAACAAAGAGTATAAAAAATAAAAAATAAAAACTTAAAAGTGAGAAAAGAATTAGTTTAGTTTAATTAGTTATGTTTCTGGTCCTCTTGCATTGTATTTGTACGGGCATTATAAATGGTGGGTCAGTATATTATTACCGTTTATAATAGAAAAATAAGAGTCTACCCAATTAATTAGTCTATTATACACATTTTAAAAATATGAGTCTACTTTCAACCCATACAATATTTAATCATCTACCATTTATTTTAATGTTTTAGATATTTAATCTTAAACGTCAGAGTGTGTTCAGAATGTTATATGTTTAATTGGTCTATTATACGCATTTTAAAAATATATCTGAGTCTAGTTCTAATCTATACATTTATTTTAATGCTCTAGATGTTCGATCTTAAATGTGAGAGACTGTGTTAAGAATCTTAAATCAGACAATATATAATATAAACAAATATTTATAAGTGGAGACAATCTAAAGGTAGCAATTGGACTTATCACTAATGGATACCTACAAAAAATGTCCACAACAGATAGAATAAAAATTCACAAAATGGATTTAGTTATAGGCACAGATAATTAACCACTAAAATAAGCGGATATGTGCTTGAGTATGAGGATTTTCTAAAATATTGTTAAAAACTTAAAATGACTTGATAAATTATAATTGATCGATCATTTTTATTAGAAATACAAGTAAACAAGTATGAGTATGTACTCATAAGATAACATAGATACAAACATTGGTGTTCATGCTAAAATGGGCTCTAGTACAGAGATTTTTTTCAAATCCCAAATATGAAAACAAATATATAATACTCTGTTCATCGTCATCCCTAGCACAATCCTCATCCTACAAATCCATAATCTTCAGATTTTCATCCACATTTTTTAACATAATTCAATAAAATTACTACTTTTCTTTCTTACATTTACAATATTTCTTTAACTTAACGATTTAAATTTGTTCCCACATGAAAAAGTTATGGTTTCAACGTTGCATTAAAAGCGGCAGTTGAGAGTTAGGAGTGTGCATCTATTTTGGGTTCCTTCTTCCTTTTCCCTTACTTTTGCTCTCTACTATTTATGTAAATGTTCATTCATTACATTTTTTCACAATCTCTGCTCACATATCACAATCCATTTCTTATGTTCTTTGCATTTACAAACTTCATTTCCAACATTCATGGAGTTGCTAGTGAAACTCTTGTTTGCAACATGTCTCATTCTTTCAGTCACCATTGATGGAACAAAGGCAGATACAATGCTCACTGGAACTGTCATCTGTGACCAATGCAAAGATGGCCAGAGATCTCTTTTTGATTATCCTGTAAATGGTGAGATCTATGTCCTTCAACATCATTTTTGTTTCATGTTTATGGTTTCAACTTGCAATACTAATATTATATGCTCCATTAGTACTAAACATTGTATGTTCCCAAAAACATTAATGTTATGAGATACATGATCTAACTTTAGATCACTACTATGATGGAGAAGTATCTCATGTAAATAGAAGTTTAGAGTTATTTACAAAAATAAGAGAAAACAAAAACAAACTGAGGTCACCATCTCAACCGTAACGATCTTTACGATTAAGACAGTGATCTGGTAAGTGTTGATTTGACAAAAACAAGAGAAAATAAATGAATCTGAGTTGAGGTCACTATCTCGGTCATAAGTTCAAATAATACTATGAGTATCTACAAGATCATTAGTTGTTAGAATTTCAACTAACTTTCAACCATTGATACACCGTCGACCATAAGAGTTACTTCTCGACTTAGACATCCATAACTTTGACAGTTGGAAGAAAAAAAAAACACTTTGTTGTAATTGTTGTTATGTATGTATCTTGAGATAAACAAACACTTTTTCACATACTCACATGTTGTGAGGTGAAAAGTGCAAGATTGTTTTTTATAGCTTTTTCATTGGTTGATCAATAAATGGAGTAAAGACAGTTGTGGCCAGCTAGTTATGGTCATTGGGCACAATCTATTTATTAATTTCATACATACTTATGTTGTAAGCTTTTTTGACACTAAACCACAACCTCTTGTTTTCTGGTACTGCAGGTGCAAAAGTGACTCTGTCATGTAGTGACAGCAGTGGTCAAATAACAATGTCAAGAGAAGAAACAACAAACTGGTTTGGAAGCTATACAATGAGATTTGATGGTGCACCAGATTTAGGTGGTTGTTCTGTACATGTCTCAGGAAGTAATGATGGACAAGGAGGATCAATGAGTTGTAGTGAAGCTTCTGGTCCTGCTCAAAATCCTAGACTCATGTTTAGGATGTTTGACATGGAAATGTATGTTGTTGATGCTCTTCTTGCTCAGCCTCCTCAACCTATGCAATACTGCTCAACATCTTCCAAACCAGCCCCTACACCATCTTTGCCGCCACCAACATTGACACCACCAGTTTCTTCACCTCCTCATTTCAACCTACCACCGATGCCACCACTTCCGCCACTACTTCCAATGCCGCAGCTTCCACCATTACCACCATTAGGTCCACTACCACCCATGATTTTCGTAGAAGCTTCAGCATGCCCACCACAGTAAGTTTATAGCCGTTCGACTAACGACCGGTACTATATTTATATATGAATAATAACTATGTAAACTGTTTGATAGGATGTGGATGATGCCGGAATACGAATGCTACTGGAGGGGTGTGAACAGAGACACTAAAGTAGCAGTGGCTTTTGGAATGGTTGCAGCAAGGAGATATGGAACAGACATTACATTGTGGTATGGATTGGAAGGGAGAGGAGATCCTTATAGGACACTTTTGAGAGAAGGGATAACTGCGCTTCTTAACTCTTATAACAGCATTCATTTCTCTTATCATCCACTTGGCGTAATCCAACACATGAATTATGCTTTGATGGGCTCAACTAGGGATGTTCTTGTTACTGCTTTACACTTCATGAGGGCTAATTCTGGTGAAGCTGGAAATGTTACTTGCAAATTCACTTCTTGCAGTTAACTTATATATATAATATAGCCATTTTGCTAGCATGTTTGGGAAATGATTATTTTAAAAAGTTTACTTAGAAATATTTTGATTGAAAATATTGCCTATAAAATAAGCTAACCCAAACATGCATGCTAGAATGATAATTTAATGATATTATATAACTTTTTATGTATTCTATAAAGGAGATTTGGTGTTGTATATATGGTTTTGAATATGTAACAGATGAGACATAGTTAGTCCCATTTTCATAATCATACATACATTACTTATTATCTTGAAAATCCAGCTGCAAGAAGTGATGGCCCGGAACATGGGGTGGAAGGAATTTTGTTTAATGAAATAAATGCTAATATATGCTAATATATAAACTAGAATATGAACATATGGGCGATTATCGGTGGCTATTCCTAATTCAGAAATCAGCAAATCAAAACAGCCAAGAGAGAAATTAAACAAGTCAGGAGATATCACAAAATAAATCAAGCAAATCTATAGTTTGGTAATTTCAACTTATCCCTAAGGAACTCTTCTTTTAATGAAAGGAGGATTCGAATCGAATCTCACCAATGAATGTCAAACATTGCAATATGCATGGCCCTGAAGGGCTAGTCTATCTGCACCAAGGTAGTCAAACACTAGATCCTAAGTAGGATCGGACGGCCCATGAAAGATCGTAAAATTAGGATCATAGCACGGCACTTCAGATCTTACCGAAGGACAAAGCAGTAATTTGACATATATATACACACACAAAACATGAAAGTTATAATACATGGACAAAATAACTTATAAATGACAAAATTCAACAAATTTAATTAATAACACAACCATCATTCCATAATTTAACAAGTTCAAAAGACTTTGTTCAAAATAAGCAGCTCAAAAAACATAAACCTAACTAACAAGTCTAATCATCTAAGATATCATGTAATTTCCATATCAGTATAGTCATATAAAAGACAACTTCAACACGTAAAATCTTAAGACCCAACACTCGATCTTGATCATAAAGTGCACGAAAAAAGTTTTTTCTAAGATCGTAGCACTAAAAGGCAACTTCAGCACGTAAGATCGTAAGATCTTAAGACCCAACACTCGATCTTGACTACACTGATCTGCACATCTACATCTGTTTCCTTCTCTGTAGATGTGAGTGAACGCTGTCATTATCCTAAAATTCTTGCAATTTGCCGATTTATTGCAGAGTTCCCAAGGCATCATAGTCTCCTTCACAATGCAGTGGATAGCTCCCAGCGAGTCAGTCTCAATCCAGACTTTAGACCATCCTTTAGTCGCCGCATTTTCTAATGCTATCATAATAGAAAGGAGCTCCACGTGAAGCACATTACCCTGACCTAGATTAGCAAAGAAAGCACCTAGAAATCCTCTCTTATTGTCCTTGGCAATGCCTCCGCCTGCAACAAAATTATCTTGAACATATCTGCTCGTTTTTTTTTCATCCATCCCAAATTTGATTTTCTCCAAAAAAACCGTAATGATTCTTGGAGCATTTATATACTGGCTCTCAATTTGCAATTTATCCAAAATATCTAACTCTATTTGACAGTACATTATCCAGCCCTTTGAGAGGGAGGAACTAATCTTAGTATGAGCCACAATGATTCCGATTGTTTTCTGAACGCTATAGGTAGAGCTATTGATCCTCCTCTGATTTCTAGCAATCCAAATGTGGTGGTCCATATTTGTCCAAGCTGTCAATGCCGTGTGCTTAAGTTTGGGATGCCAACCTAGCATAGTCATCTGCAAAAGATCCTCATTCATCTATAAAAGATCCTTCCAAACATTCATCATTCGAATATGATATGGGTCGAAGAATCTGTATGTTTATGACACAAACCACACATGGAAGCCAAATTGCAACCCCTCTTCTCAAGATTCACGTCACAAGGTAACTTTTTTTGAATAAATAGATAGAAATAGGAGCCTTGCCAAATTAATGGATAAAGAAAATTAGTAAGAATAACTTTATTCTTACTGCTGATGCATCGGCAAACAGAAGAACACCAGTTTGATTTGCAGAACTCACTTATTAAGCAAGATCTTAGCTTCCCATAATGAGTTTCAGAAGAAGAAGAAAATCAATAGAAGCAAATGGAAAGGTCTCTATGTTTCCTTGCTTGATCACTGTTGATGTTCAACTTACAGCCTTTTCAGACTGTGAAATCAATCCATGTTATTATAAACAATTTTAGTAATTGTGCTTTTATCATTTTCATTAGAAGTTGATTTTCAGTGCTAAGTCTAACTTTTGTTGTTTTTCAACCTATCAGGTAGAAACATAATAAGACAATAACAAACTGTAATAGCTCACAGCTTTAACAAGGATAGCGATATACTATTTTGCTTTTTCAAAAAAAAAAGGATAATGGATTAAATGATTAATGGTATAAGTGCACCAAAAATAAGTTAGAAGCATCTGAGAGAAAAATTACATGGAGTGCTTCCTGCTAAAGCAGTATGAGACCCTATCTTTTTTCATGTTTTTGAAGTACAATACTAGGATTGTATAAAAAAATACATCCGAAACATACCTCCCAGATTCAAAATATGTATGTACATCTCAATTTTAGTTCATCATTTGGGCATGAACTAATCGGCAAAAAAGAACTATGCACGTACAAATGATTCATTGGCCTCCATACCGCATCATGTTTCTCCATTTGTCCTTCAAATCAACCTGATAATCAAAATTTGATTGGCATTAAGAGCATACGTAGAAAAAGGAAAATACCAATACCTTTTAATTAGACTTACTTCAGTTCTCTCTTCAAATGTATAAGCATTGAGGATTAATTTCCAGTTTCCTCTGCCAAATCTGAAGAAGAAACAAAGGACTAAATGAGATTATGAAATTGTAGTGAAAGTGTATATTTAATTCTATTTATATTTTCAAATGAAGCAGAAATAGTTAGGAAAAAATCATTTGAATGATAACACGGTGAGATATGTGACTGTTGAGAGATGAGAAACTGACCAAATACGAAAAAACTGTATCAACGAAATACACAACAAAAATTTATAGTAACTTGATTAGTTAAAACAAGTGCATACTTGTTTACTCCAGTCCTTAGAGTATCCTCTTCTAATTTACTCCATTTTTTCGGTCTTCTCCGTTTTGTGATGTTTTTTGGTTCATACTCCTTCAATGGAGAAACTTTCCTCCTCCTTGGACTAGGCAAACTAAATTTACTAGCCTGATATGATGTTTCTCCTCTCAAGCCATCTATCGAATCATCCCACTACAGAAAATAAGCAATAATTAATGATATACTTGTTTAAAGATACATCCAAACAAAAAATGAGTACCACGGAAAATATAAAAGGAACATGAAACATGAAAAGAAATGTCGAACAAGATGAAACCCCTAAAATCAAGACACCAGAAAACAAAAAGTTACAAGTATTAAAAAATGTGGTTGAGCCTAATTCATCCTTACAAAACCGGCTTGTAGGATGAGGATTGCCCTCATGTTCAAACTGTATATTGTCTGATATGGCGCTAAGACACACCCCTTCATGCCCAGGATGGACATCTGAAGCGTGGAAATAAATAATGGGTGGTCTGATAGCAGGTGCCGCACTAGATCTTAAACCTAACTCTGATACCATGTTAAGAAATGTGGTTGAGCCTAACTCATCCCTATAAGCCGATTCTGTAGGGATGAGTTTGGCTCTAACTAAGAAATGACTCTTAAGAACAAACACTGTAGCAGCACCATAATGTTCCATCAAACTATTGTCTTTCAAGAGTCAAAAAAATTAACCAATAGAACAAAATTTACATAACACAGTCAAGGTTACCTCATGAGTTTGAGCAGTACTATTTGGTTCCATCAAGCTAGGGTGATGTGCATCACTCTGATGAACAGAAGTTGTCTCATTAAGATTAGCCTCATTATTATTACTACTCAGGCAAGCTTGTGGGTTGGGCACATTTGCATCCGTACTCCGATTTTCCATTTGTGGTTCCTGATTCATGTCCTCAATTACCAAACCAGGATCCTTGGCCAAGGTTTGCAACTCCACAGAACAGCATTTAACAGATTCCCCATTCTTCGGGACCTCGTTCATCGGGAAAGACTCACCTTTGCTACAAGAGGTTGATAAATCCACTTCCTCAACATCAACCGCAGTAGTAAACTTCCCTTCAAGCTTCTCATTGTCTTTCCTAATTTCTACTGGAGAACCTAAAGACGAGAAAGAAAAAAAGAAAAACATTATGATTAAAACTACTAAAAAGCAAACAACTTTCTTTGGTATGATAATTCACAAAGTGCAAGATAGAAAGTTAACCTTTCTCATGTTTCTTCATCTGCAAGACACCCACACTCGCATCCAACTGATTCTTCGCTGCTGATTCAAGAAAAGAAGGACCTAAATTCTCCCAAGCTTCACCCAAAAAAGCCTGCACCTTTCGAATTGCGTCTCGTCGAGTATTCGGCACAGAGCAAAGCTTCTCCATAACTTTCTCATCCAAAAGCGAATTCTCAATCTCAATTTTCCATTGTTTCAATTCATCAGATAACAGAAAACTACTTCCCTCACTCTGCATATCCTGAACCCTACCCTTCCATATCCTCTTCACCGCTATGCCGTAGCTAGGGTTTGATGTTCCCACTTCAAGATACTTGAGAGTACACTCAACTGCAATGCTACAATACGCGGCTTTCATGGCGGCACTGATTGAATTTGAATTTGAATTTGAAGAGTCGCAACGAAGTAACAATTTTTCTAGTACCTCGAGAATTTGGAGCATACATTCTGGGATAAATGCTTCCGACAAGGCGTCTTGGAGGGTTCTAAGGATGATTGTTATTTTGGTGCGGTAATCGGTGTTGGAGAGTGAGATTCTAGAAATGAGTTTGTTGATGATGTTGGTTTCTATGGTTGAGTTTCTAACGAGGTATTCCAAACACCAATTCCTCACTTCATCCTCCATTTTCTTCTCTTCCAATGTTTTTCAATTTTCCCCCTTTTCTCTCTACTCGCTAACCAAAAATGAGTTTTTTAAATCAAATATTTGATTTTCAATCTAATGTCTTTCAATTTTTGAACTTTAAAATTGGTTGACCCATTTAAATTATTTCATTTTATGTGAGGGTGATATTGTAATTACATAACCTTTGCAATTGAGGGATTGAAGGAATGATGGAATGAATGAATTATTTATATGATTATTCATTCTTTCTCTCATTTAATGTGTAAATTACATTGAGTTCTATTTCAACCAGTGTCATTCCTTTATTGAAGTTTTTGAGTTAGATCTCTAATTATTTTAATTTTCTTAATAGTTCAAAGTAACAAATATTTGTTATGTGAGATATTGGATCGAACTCTAATATGTTATCGGAATAATGCGTATTGTAGTCGAAGTTTATTCTAACATGCATTAGTCAATATTGTTAGGTTTGTTAGCATGTTGAATTAAGCATTGCTTGTAAGCTCAATTGTTTAAGTTAGTTTGTACCTTAAGTTAGCTTGTAATGAATAATTGTTAAAAAGTTTATTAGATTAGTGTGCTAGTTTTCTTATAAATAGCATGTTAGTCTCTCATCTTATATAAGAAAAAATAGAAAGATAAAATTTTAATTCAAGAGAGAGGTTATTTGTTATTCTTATATACTTGTAATCTTGTTTGAAAGAGAAAAGAAAGAATAGCAGTTTATAATCAATCCTTATTGTTTATTCTTGTTCTTCTTGCTTGTTTTCTTTGTTAACCTTAACCCTTGTGTGTTTCTTGTCTATAAAGAAATCGTTTATATTTTGTTTCAAGACATTTTATTCACAATATGTTATAATTAATATCGGGACATAAGACATATATAACTATTTGCAAACATTTGATGAGTGTCTTTAACAACTTCAGCTTCAACAATCTCTTGAATGGATGCAATTTGTACCATGTTGCGTGCTTAAACTGACTAGAGCATCCAAAATTCTAACGGTCCTCACGACAATGATGGTCATCTTGTCTTAACTAAATTACCAAAGATACTTGCATATTCAAGGCAAAGTTTATTTGGTTCAACGACAAGAATGTTTGAGATATGCTATATCAATGTGATCAATTTTTTCTTTTTGATGAAACTCCAACTATTTTCATGGTCAGATTAGATTTCGTTCATCTTTACGGGTTAGCCTTAGAGTGGCATTTGAATTATATGAACGAGATGTTTGATATTTACCTCGCGTGGCACTAATACATCACAGGCGTTACGACACGATTTGAAAACATGTATAAAGACACCCCCTCCTTTTTTGTCTTCTCACAATCAACATATGTTCAAAAAGTTTGAGATTATGTAAATAAGTTTGAGTTTTCTCTTACACGTGTATCTTTAATTTTTAAACACTCCTTATACATTTTCTAACTAGTATAGAGAACAACTTCTAAATGAATGTTAGAATGTGTCAAACCCCCTATAACTCAAGCTGCTAATTTAGAAAGTTTCTAAATAGTTTACCCCTAAAACCATTAACATGATAAACAATAAATTGTTCAAAACATCATCCCCAACAACCAACCAACAATCCTCAGCTCATACCTAGAAAAAGGTACTTACAAGCACTAACCATTCTTATTGTGTTGAAATGTTGAATAGATAAACATGTATGTTTTTGGATGAGACTTTTGCTCCAAGTTACCATCTAAAACACCAAATATCTTAAATAGTGGTCTTTAAATTGTATATGGAAGAACCAAAAGAAGAATAAAGAATACTAGAAGGTGATAATTTTATCATTATTCATACCCATCAATTTGATAATCCTCATATTTCTTTACAAACCTTGACATATATATCCAACTATCAAACAAATAAGATTATCAGATTACACCACATAAACACATTTACAACTCCTCACTGCTCACTATTTTTTAAGAAAATTAGTTGTACTAGAAAACTAGATGCAAATAGGAATATGTCGTTCATATAACTCCATACATAAAAGAGGATGGTGAATTATGGGGGTTTGAAAAACTTTAATTTAAAATAAATTCATTTTAAAAATCAGAGTTTAAAACATTTTGAATAAATCGGCAGCGGAAAAACCAAAGGAAAGAAGATAAGTAGGAAAAAAGAGTTAAAAGGAATAGAAATAACACCAGAGAATTATACAGGTTTGTCCAAGAAGACCTACTCATGTGCCCACGAATTATCCTTGAGAGTATCCATTAAACTTGAGAGCTTTTAGAAAAATTTGCCCAAAAACATGGCTTAGAGTGGTTGGTCTCCAAACCAAGCAGACATTTTATACATGATGATTTCGAACCAAGACAGAGTTTTGAGATGACTATCGTCTAAACCAAATCGGAGTTTTACATAGGTTGATCACGAACCGAATCGAGATCTTTATCGAACTGATCTCGAACCTCCTGACTTTTTACACTAAGCTGAACTCAGAAAGCAAAAGAGATTTTAACCGGATTGATCTCGAACCGAAAGAGATTTTAACTGGGTTTATTTTAAGAGCCATTTGTGGAGATTTTCACTAGCTGATCTTCACGAATCAAAAGAGATATTTTTCTTCAATGGTGGAGCTCACAAACGAAATAAAGACTTCCTAAGACAATCCCTTAATACAAACAAGAGCTTTTAAATGGTTTAGCTTACAACCAAAAGTATCAACTTCCTATAGAAGAATTATTTACTCAAGAGAAAATTCACTCTTGTTAAATTTACAATATTTCCTCACCCAGAACAATATTCCTCACTTAGACTCTAGAACATTCTCGAAGTATTATGACTAAAATATGTGAAAAAATATGATAGATTTATAGAGGTGATGAGAGAAATTAAAATTGAGGTTTTTCACATTTTCTAGATGTGAAAAAGTGAGAGAAAAGCTTTTTATTTATAGGTCAAGGTGTGGTATAAATTTGAAACAAAAATTCACGGGTTAATTAACTTATCTAATTGATAGGTACCTCAAATAATCTATTGATGAAGCCCAAAAAGGAAGGTTTTGATATAGAGTCGTTATTAATCATCATAATCAAATATAAACTCAATTAAGCAGCATCTAATAGATTAGGAAAAAGATCTAATCGATTAGACAATTAGAAAAAGTTTCATATTCAATTGAACACTCTCTTAATTAACTGATTAGGCTTTTAAAACATTTTTTGTGTTTATTTAAAATATGAGAGGTTTTTCGAGAATTTTTAATGTGTTTGTGTGATTTAACCCTAATGAGACACGACCAAACGAGTTTTTACACTTCCTCTCTTTCACACTCTGAAGCTACAACTCATGATATCATTACCTTTGATTTTACCATCACACAAAAACTTTGAGTCTTTTTTACGAGACTTGAGATATCTTTATGTTGATTAAACTATCGGTGATCCTTGAAGCTTATGTCTTCACTTGAGATTTTTTAGACTACAATATTGACTTCATATAGATGTAGAACTTGATTTGGGAGACGTTTCCTAACAGGTGTTTGGATCTTTAAAAGACAAAAACTCACATTTTGGAGATAGAAAGTGACGGTAAGGAGATCTAGAATCTAAGGAAATTGGGTTTTCAGCAATTGAAGACTAGATTAATCCTTGAGTTTTATGTATTATTCTTACAAATTTATTGTACTGACTTTTATTAATATGAGTAGCTAATTTACTTTTAATTAGGTCATATAAGATGAACTAAATATTGATTAGTTTATTCATATGACTTGCTTTGTGTTATTTGCATAAGTTGATATTATATTTTCTATTCAATTGCTCTTTTGTTTAATTCTCTTTGTGTGATGAATTCACAAATTGATCTTAGGCTAGTAGGAATTAATGAGCCTAATCCTATCAACCTAGACTAGAGTAATTGTTCAACTATATAATTGATTTAGAGATAAATGATTATTAGTTGTGGCTAAGAAATTAACGAATGTAAATTGTCTAATTTTACTATCCAACTCGATTGAGGGATTAAAGAATTATAGTTTAAATTAGTGAGTTATACATTAAAAAATTGGATATAAAGACAGTGTTAATTCGTCGTAATTTTGTAACATCAAATTTAGATAAATAAATGCAGTCACCAACAATTAAATTAGAGAATTCGAACAAGACCTAATCATCTTTTTCCTAATGTTCTAAGTATTTCCGATCTAACTCAAGCGAACTCCAATATTACTTTTCAATAGCACGTAATTTCCCATGGATTCGAACTTGAATTTTTATTATTTTGATATAACTAGTACACTTGCTAATTTGTCATCCATCAATTCACCGACAATATTTCAAGCTTTGATGAAAAATGTATTTCAACCATTTTTGAGAAAAAAATTATTTTCTTTGATGATATCTTTGTTTATAGCCTGTAAATACAAGTACATGTCTTGCACTTGAAATTGGTCTTTGACAGTAAAAAAATGCATCGGGCAATGACACCTTAAAATGAAGTAGATTTGCTGACAGCACTGTTATTTAATGAAATAAAGCTAGCTTACACACAAGTTACTTTGCTCAGAAGGATAGTTATGTATGTATATATTAGACCAGTCCTGATACAAGTGCTATTTGTGCTGTTCATATTGCAATAATATTCTAAAACAGAACACATGAATAACCACAAACTAATCAGTCTCTGCTAAATTGCGCACGCAGTATTGATAAGCTTGCCATTGAATAACTAACGCATCTAAATTTATAGCATAGTGACTGACAGATTTCAACAACCAACCTAGCTCTCAATCTTTTCCAAAAAAATTGTTATAGCTTCTGTAACTTATGCCAACCCATCATTACTATAAGCTCCAGCCAGCATCATGCTTATCTGGAAACTTCACAACATAGATATCAACTTCAAACTGTGAAATCAAAACCCGACAATAAGTTGAAAATATCTTATCATGAAAAAACATATATTTTTCTTGTTTAATGGCATCAAGCAAGATATGTCAACATAAATACTTACCTATTTTTCTGCAAGTGCTGCAGCGCACATATGCTGACACCATCATCATTGTCCAAACTGCCATTGTTGACAATAACAAACAACCCTTTCAAGTAAGGGAATAAGGCCAATCAAAGCAATTTGAAGTTGTTCTGAACTGTTTAATCGGATGCTTATTTGTCCAGTCCCACGATTGTTCAAATTGCCTCGTGCAACAAGGTTTGTATACCGTCCAATGGGAATCTGTGATTGTAAATTGCACCCAACAGCCAGATCTCCATGCCAGTCCATGACGGAGAGCCCAAGTGTTGATAATGAGCGTCCTAGAGGATGGTTCTTATCTCTCAACTGGGCCTCCAAACTGCCACCATAAGCAACATCATCACGCCCAGTCATTGCACCACCAGCAATAACCATCTGGAATCGCTTATTAGCAATCAACTTATCTTCGACTTTAATTCCAGCTGACAAGGAATCACCCAAGAGAGTAAATGAGAGACCAGCAGTTCCCTTATTTCTCCTAAAATTACAAAATTTTGTCTCACTACGTAATGTATAAGCCAAGTCTTTCCCAACAGTCTGCATATCAAAACCTAACGATGTTGCTTTCCCTTCTCCGTGCTTAACCGAACTTGCCATTTCCATCTGAACACTAGCATCCTTTTTGTCTTTCGTAACCTGACCACTAAAAGAGAAGGGTATCTTGTTTTTAAGAACAAACAGTCTTTCTACATTTAAGCCTTCATAACCCACATCATGATCCCATCCATGAGTTTCTAGGACAGGTCTTATAAGCCACTGGTTGGATGAATCAAGAAAACGATACCGGTGAAAGGGAGTATCAGAATCAAAGGAAGCAGGCAAGGACATATCCGGCATGGGAACAGGAACAGAAGCTGCGCCACCGCTTTCTTCCTTCAAATTTTCATCATAACCATCTGGCAGGTCTTTCGCTGATTTGGCCATTTCCTTCATCATCTTCCGTTGCATTTTTTCATACTTCAATTGTTTTTTCATGAAGAGTTTTTCTCGGTACTCAACTTCGTCCAGATATGCTTTCTTCTGAGCTCTAGAAAGGCTTCTGAGCTGAGCTTTTGTCAAAGGTTTAAATGGTGGCAAGTCATCAGGATCTGTTTCATCACCAGAATCTAATGCTTCATCAAGATCGTCCTCATCACTAAATTGCTCCTCTGGCAACTTTAATTGCGGTCTTGACTGTAGAAGGGATGACAGAAGAAATGGTAAAGGTTGCATTCTTGCACGAGCTGTGTAAGGTTTTTCAGGTTGACTGTCTTGTAACTTAAGTAGAGCATTTGCTTCAGCCAGAATTTTTGACGCAAAAGATAAGAGCAACAGATGAGGTTTCCAAACCTGGCCATTAGGCAACACTCTTTGGCCGGCCGTATTAATTCTGCATGCAGAGTGGTTCTCCACCAATGATATAGGATTCATGAGACGCATATCACCAGCTGCTTGTCGAATGGCTTGCTGCACAATATGAGAGCGCTGTGTGACAAACATGTCATAACTGGAAGGAGTACCATTAGGGCCTTCCGGTGGGGCAGATGCTGCGTGAGTCAAACCCACGATAGCATTGAACCATATGGATGGTCCAAAAACGTCGGTAATTGTACTTAAGAGTGGCATATCACTAAGATCTCGGCTCTGCATATCTAACCTATCAAGATACAACACAATATCAGGTGGAGTTTTCTTAATAAAGCGCTTCACAGAGAGGAGGATCTTCTCGTTATATTGCTGGTCTGACCAAGAAGGTAGAAGTCCTGGTGTATCAATTACCCGCACTTTAATGCCCTGTACTTTTCCTACAACATCCTGAACCTTTTTTGTTCCAGTATGAAAAGCATTGGTATTAAATTTAACTTCGTCAAAGATAGAATTGATGGTTGCACTTTTTCCAACTCCTGTCTTTCCAAGAACCATTACTGTACAAGAAAAATCAAGTGGTTCTTGACCAACTGATTCAAGCTGCTCGGCCATTGCACTTGCACGATCAAAGCTAAAAGCGCCAACACGGCCCCCATTCCTCCCTCTGAGTTGCTCAGCCAGTCCTAATCTATACAGAACTTGTGCTACAACAACATTGTGGGGTGTCTGCCCAAGCCTATTAGCTAGCCGCAAAAACTTAACCCTAATCATTTGAAGTTTTTCTCGAGTCTCGTCATACTCATCAGCCTCCCCAATTGGGGAGTCTTCTGTTTTTCGGGGTTGTGTATCAGATACAGTATAGTTCACGCGCGGCTGCTGCACCACCCGAGCAGCCGGTTCCAACAACGGAGCTGCAGATCCAAGGCCAGCGGGACGAACAAGAGGGGTGCTAGCAGCAACAGATGAGGAAACAGGCTCACGTTTCTGTTCTTCAGCAATCTGATTGGTTTCCTTGTTCTCTGCATTATTCTCTGGTATCCTATTAGATTCTTCAACAGAAGATAAGGTTTCATAATTTCCTTGGCTTTCTTCATTAGAAATCTTAGACGAGTAATCCTTGATACTTTGTTCGTCAAATACAGATGCAGTAGACGGAACTATCTCATTGAGAAAAGGATTTTCTGATTGAGATCTTCTTCCAGCAGTTTCAATCCCTGTTCTCTCCACGGCCGGAGAAGATCCTCCGACTTCACCAACTGTTTCCTGATGCCCTGAATCTGTTTCAGCATTAGCATCCTTATCTTCATCATTACTATAATCTTTGCATTCAATACTCGGACAATCAGATGTTCCAATTTCTTCGCCATTTCTATCCTCATGGACTACATCAGTGCCAAGGGTTTCACCCTCCATTTCAATAAATATTTTATCAGGAGGCTCTAAACCTCCGTGAGCTGAATGTATATGCACTTTATCATCCTGAATATCACTGCATTGTTCCTCTATTATTTTATCATCTCTGTGTTCTGTATCCAAACCACCCTCTTTCAAATCCTCAGCATCCGCACCCTGGTTTCTCATCTCTTCATCGGATCCAGAATATGTATGAAACCCATCGACATCATAATCCACCTTGTCCGTGCTCCCATTTTCAAAAGGCATACCACCATTTTGTCTGGGAGTCGCGTATTCAACATCCTCATTTTTAAACCTCTCACTCGACAAACCAGAGTATCCATTCACCAAGTCATTAGCACCCTGATCAGTAATCACTTCAATTTCTTCTTCATCCTCCGACACTTTGACACGCCCATCAGCAGCCCCGATTGCCTCTAGAAAACTATCAAGTTCTTCCGCATCATCATCATGAATTTCTTCAACCAAATCTGCAGGCAATACACTAACAGTAGCACCAACAGCATCACCCCGGTCAACAGCCTCCTCGAAAACCTCCTCTCCTTCATAAGACCCTCCTCCTATACTCTCATTTGACACCCCAACATCCACCCTCTTCCTCTCCCCCTCATCATACCCACCATTATCCATCACAAATCTCCAAGTCGTTATAAAATCCTAGATTTTCCACACACAAAAAAAACAAGATATCAAAAAGTCTTACAAAACAACAACTAGTAATGGAGAATGAAACATAATAATAAACCTTAAAATCAATTAATAATTATAAAGCACGAACACCCCAGATACAACACCGACACTAATAATTTGAAAAATCAATAAATTAAAGATATTTACAAGTTTTGGTGTACGCTCAAACCCGGACACGGCATTTTTCTGAAGTGTAGGTGCTACCAAAAGAGGTTATGTTATTATCTATTAGGGTTTATTATGATAGATGAAATAAACTGAATTTTGAAACGATTTTAGAATGAAAATGATATAGCAAAAACAATAGCAAACATGCGAACCTGTTTATGCCGAGAAGAACAAAGATTGAATTGAAGGGTATAACTGTCTCTGTAACTGCCTTGGTTGGGTTGAAATGAAAAGAGATTAACACTGTTTTACTTGGTTTGTGTTCTTGAGCAAGTGAATTCAGGATAAGGGGTAAGAAAGATCAACGGATAGGGATGAGTGAAGAGTTTAGATCGACGGTGGAAAGTGTTGCATAGACATCATCGACAATAAACATGTTTTTTATGGAAGAGGTTGTGTTGAATTTTGAATAGTATAGAAAAAGTGTTAGTTCCAATAGATTTTATTTCAGTGTAACTTGATTGGGGAATAAATGATTGCCCCGCCTTTAAGTTTTTGGAATTTAATAAGTGGAGTGTTCCCCATGACAATTTCTAATAATTGCAATTACACCCTTAATAATTCTATATCTAAATTCAACCAAATGCATACAAACATATATGTATAACCTTTTAAGTGAAATTCAATAATTCAAAGTGTGGAATTGGTTTTCATATGGGTGGAATCAATTACAATTGTATTGAAATATTAAAGAATTTGAAAATAGAAAGTTTTCTCATAGATGTAATTGATTATGCATTTGCATCAAGCGATTATCATTGTTATGTTTTAGTTTTGTTAAAATAGTTGTAACAATTGAGGTGTTATGAATCAATATAATGAAACTTCTCACCCTCAATTATATTCTCTCTAATTCTTTCTCTCTTTTTCACTCTCCCTCCCTCTCCACACTCAATCACTCCATTTTTTATTGATTGGGTGATTCCAAGTTATAATATTTGACATCAAAAGTCTGGTTCGATCCACCAAACACCTAGTGTGCAACATGAATTATGTCTCCCATGAAAGAATCCATGCAAACCTACTTATCCTTGATGAGAAGAATTACGACAAGTTGTGCAAACAAATGAAAGTGTTATTTGACTACCAAGATGTTCTTGAAGTGATCAAGAACGGTGTGAATCCTCTTGTTGAAGGTGCAACGAATGCACAATGAGCAATATAAGGAAGAAAAAAAGAAAGATTTAAAGGCGTTGTTTTTTATCCATCAATCTGTGAATGGTGACAACTTTGAGAAAGTTGGTGATTACGAATCATCGAAGCAAGTGTGGAAAATCTTAGAGAAGGCATACGCAAAGGCTAACAAGGCGAAGTTGGTGAGGTTACAAAATCACAAACGTCAACTTGAATTGATTCAAATGAAGGAGAAGGAGACCATTGACGATTTAACAACATAAATTACTCGGTCGGTGAACCAAGTAAAAGCATGTGGAGAAATGGTCACAGAGCAGTATGTTGTCGTGAAAATCTTATGTTCTTTAACACCAAGATTTGATAATATGGTTGTAGCAATTGAGGAATCAAATCATCTTGCAACGATGAACAAAGAGAAGATATAAAGCTCGCTTGAGGCACGTGAGCAAAGAATTGATGACAAAAATTGTGATAAGGCAAAGGCGGAGATTGCTTTGCAAGCTCATTTCAACGAGAAGGACAAGAGATCGAAAGAAAAATGGCATCTAAAGAGTAGAGGAAATTTTCATAATTTTGGTGAAAGAGAATTCCAAAGTTCCAAGAGTTCTACTTGTTAAAAGGTGAGAGCGGATGCAATAAATATGGTGGTCAAGGCAACTTTATAGGTGAAATAAGAAGGATATACAAGAGCAATATGCAATGCTTTGTTTATTAAAAGAAGGAACCTCAAGTGGATGAAGCCAAAGCTGCAAGACAAAAGTTTGATGAGGATAACACACTTTTGGTCATGATCACAGAAGGAGAATGCAACAACAATAGGTTGCGATACAACAACAACAACGCCACTTTGGAAACACTACAGAATCATATTGTAACCAGTTACAGGTAGAAGAAAACATAATGGTGACTTTGAAAGAAGCAGTTCAAAGCAGCGATCAATTGTATTTGGATTTCGAATGTTCTACCCATATGATTTTTATTTGAACACTGGTAGATTTATTGAAAATTAGTTTAAGATTATGCTTATGTTTATCATTGATGATAACAATCGAATCAATGCTTTATTATACTAGTTTATTGGGATAACTTGTAAAGAAAGACTTTGAATGACAATAATAAAATATGAGACAACAATATTTATGCATGTGAATTGTGTGAAATATGTTCTCTATTAAGTGATCAACTAACTTCATTACACGTGTAACATATATATAAGCATTTAGAAGATAACTAATCTTAATTAATTGCATAGAACCAACTATTTTAATTGACTTGTGTTTTTTATAATAAAGATGACTTTTTATTTCCAAAAACAATCAATACACTCGATCCAAAGGGGTCCAGAAAATCAACAAAACTCAACATGACTAGACAATGATTAATGTAGTAGCATTTACATGGCTATTAAGCTTTCTATGCAACATACTTCTAATGACAATATTATGAATTATACTTTATTTCAGCCTATTGTCTATAGGCTTTTGACAAAAAAATTGGCATTCTTAGCTCTCCAAATGCCATAAGTTGTTTATGTTATTACTGCTTTCAAAATAAGTTTTCTCCAACCTTTTCTTGGTTTCTTGAATATACCATTTTGATTCATTTACCCACGACTTTAGGTTTTCTTCTCCATCTAAGCCACTTAAGAATGTCATGTGTTACACCCCAAAATTTTCCTAACCTTTATTAGCCTAGCTTATGTTTTATTGCATTCATCTTAGCATTAGCATACGCATTGCATTATCATTTGTGCAGGGGATCAGGAGGTTATTGTCCTCAGAAGAGTGTCAAGGCTCAATGATGAGTGCATGGTTAAGAGTGAGGTACCTCATATCTTGGGGGTCATTTGAAGATTGTCAGATGAGTTTGAATCCATGGTTATGGATGGAGAATCTTGAGAGAGCTCATGGGATGTCTTGAAAGTCATTTTAAAGCTTATGGCAGTCATTATTTCAAGTGTGTGAAGCCACTGTCAGGATTGATGCGATTAGGGTTTTCACCGGGTCAACCCTAAGTCAACAGTTGAACTGAAGGAGATTAAGACTCAATTCTAAGTCTTTGTGATCATGGGATGTTGTGTTGAGACATGTCATAGATTATTCCAAGATCATTTCATCAAGATTCAAGAGTGTGAGAAGTTGCTAGGCTAGGGTTGCTATGCTTGACAATGTAAAATCCCCTGGTTTAGTGTCTAACTTCAAGACCACATAACTTAAGATGCAAGCCTCATCTCATCTTGACATAAACATGAGACTTGTAGGGCATGTTCATAGATTTAATTTGAGTACTAGAAGTCCTTTATTGGATTTATAGAACTCAAGTTATGAAGCAGACAAGTTACAGGTCATCAGATGAATGTGATTTTAATCATCAAAAGTCAACCAACTTCCATGCCATTTTTGACCAGGAAGAATGTTTCTCCTCAACTTCAAGTAAACATGAAAGTTGTTCCTCATGATTTTAGCTTTCCAAAGAGTACTAGAAGTCCTCATTTGGATTTATAGAACTCAAGTTATGAGCTTGACAAGTCAAGGGTATTTTGGGAAAGTAAGATTACAGGTCATTTTCATTATAGGTCCATTTCACCACTTTTCACACTTCAAATGGAAATCTTTCCAACATGAAAGTTGCTCCAAATGGGGTCATTTGGTCAATCAAACCTCAAGGGATCATTGATATGGTTTGAATTGGAAAATGTATAGACAAAAATTCATGAAGAAAGCTTTAAAGGCCCTTAAAAGTCAAGAATTCAAATCAATTCATTTTGGAACCAATTCATATCATGTTGGTACATTTTTTGAGTGCAAATAATGTTTTAAGAACATTGGAAAAATTACAAATCAAGTTTGAAGCCATCTACATGTGGAAATTCATGGTTTCTTCACCTTTAAGAAACACATTACAAATCCACCCTAGATTCATTTCCAAGGCCTCAATCTCAGCCATTCACATTCCTTATACCTCAAGAAACTGATATGAATCATTTTGCAGCCATTAACACTCTATTTTTGCCATTTCCATAAAGCTTCAAAATCAAAAATGTGAATTTTGGATTGGACTATTATGGGTTTCCATTGGGCTGCTAATCATCACATATCCATTGCATATAACATTTCTAATCATTCCTAACAGAAAATAACAAAATTTGGAGGTAGTTACAACAGAAAAAAGTGGAGAAAAAGTGAAGAAAAATTGATTTTCGTTTTTGGAGAATTACACACATTCAAGCCAAACCAAGATTGCTAGAAGCTTGAGGATGATCCGTTGAAACTTTCTGCACAATCTGGAGTGAGAACCATTGCCAATTGACACCTCCATTGAAGCTCAAAACCAGGTTCCTATTTCTTATCCATGCTCTCTATTCTTGAGGTTTTTTAGTGCCATTTTCATGGATTTGCATTCCTTAGGATATGTAGAAGCTTTTAGGATTAAGTTAGTTAGAATTCATGACAATTGTTGGAATGACACCTTAGGTTGTAGTTCGAATTTCTCCCTAAATATTGGATGAAAATGAAAAAGAATAGGATATTATTGATGTAGGAAGTGAGAGGAAGAGATTAGTATCATCAATTTTAGTTTTTGTGAAAGTTGGAAATTCTTGAGTTATTCTTGGATGTTCATGATTTTTGAGTTTTAAT